TGTGCAGCTTGAAAACTTTGTGCTCTTGGCAAAGAGGTAGTAGCAGAAATATAGTAACACTAAAACAAGGAATTCCACACACATTAAGCACTACTTATTAAACAAAAACTTTCCCAAATACATTATACTTCAATATAATACTCTTGGAAACCTTAGCATATTTTTCTATAAAGGACCTCAAGATATATGTTGTAATAAAGTTCCTTAATGCTTATTAGGCATATGTGTAGCTACATACATAGCATAATGATTACCTAATTTTACTAGATTACAACATGTTTAACAGGTTTTAATGGAATGTTTTTTATCATCTGACAAACTCTGCCAACAATATTATGGAATAAAGCTTCTTTGGTAACAAGGAAAATTACTATCTTACTATAAGTTTCAAATAAAAATATGCACATTAATACTGAAGTATCCTAAACTGACACTAATGGCATTGCCCCTATACATATATGCTCACAGGAGTAACTACCATTTGGTAGCTAACCTGAGATGTTTGAGCCGTTAGAACTTCTCGTGACTCAGCAGTAGTGGTGACAGCAGAGGTGGTGATGACAGTGGTGGTGCTGCTTATAGGGTTGGGCGGTGAGGTAGAGGTGGGAGGGTGAGTGGGAGAGCCCAAACTGGCTAGTGTAGCACTCAGGGCATCTAGAGAGTCGAGTCCCTCCTGCAAACACCACGCAACTCATGGTTCCAAAGTCAGCATGCAATACTTGGGTGCCCACAGGAAGGCTAAAACTTTACAGGATAATTTTTATGGACTTATAGCAAGTTTACTTCGGAAAGCATTTTATAATGAAACAAAAACTATTACTAATCACAAAAGCCAAAGCACCAAAAATAAATCATTTTACATGTAAAATGTAAAACATTTTATTTCCAGCACTTGTTTTCTCTCAGTTTCTAACCTTCCTGCACTGGCTAATGAACAGTCAACTGTATGTTCATTTGTCAGTTGCTATCATTATTCAAGAACTATTAATAAAAAATCCTTCAAACAACAACATGTTACTGTTTGAGGTATTGTCAGTATGTCAACTGGATAAGTGGAAATTAGATTTTCAGAGAAGTATCAAAACTCTTAAAAATATAAATAATTTCCTCTACTCAAACATCAATCAAAATATTTCTCTTTGAACTAGTGAGGATCTTAGAGAAATTATTAGTCTTTGAGATAGAGAAAATTCACTTTCAGTTTTGTCTTCACCTGTTAGCACACATATTTGATTAAACTTTCAAATCTACCAAAAAATGTCAAAATGTAAGTACTTCCTCAATCACTCATGTTAATCCAAAAAATACCAACACAATTACTTTCAGTACTTTTATTAACATAGACAGTATACCTTTTATAGTAAATAGTATACCTTTTTTTAGTAAATTAAATATTTCACCTAGTTGATTACAAGGAAACATCTTATAGACGTATTCTAGTTAATTCAAAATGACTGAAAAGTTTTATGTAAGATAATCCTAATATATCACCATACAGTGATTTCTCAAATAAATTCATATACCATGCAATACATCTATCTAAAACTAACTTTAATAGTGTTTTCTTGTATAAAACTACTGCCACTGAAGCAAAATCAAAGGAGATTATAATCTTAAACTTATTACTTTCATCACATGTTGATGTTCAACTTTGTAATTCATATAAAACTAGCTCCTACTGCAGGTACTTTTTAAACACAACTCATCATATCTTCCATTAGAAAAGTCTGAATTACTTTCCTTAAATTATTTAATTATTATTTTGTTACTATCTTTATTCCTTTTTAAAAACTTTTGTAAACAAATTTAAACTTAGAATTACATTTTTTTTTTTTACATAAATATCTATATTAACTAAAAGTAAGATTTGATATCTACAGAGCATACTTTTGGCAATAAAATTTTAATAGGTAACTTCTATATACACTGCCAAGTGATGAAAGCCAGGTGCAATAATACATTTCCTAGTATGTGATCTATCTGCTGTCTATTAGTCAAGTATATATCAATTACACAGCACAGCAAAAACATGCAATTTCTAAAAACCCTTTTCTCATTTCATGCTAATCAAGGCAAAAAGTCAAATAAAAAGAAAGGAAAAACTACACTTGCAAACTCCATGCTGTGATATAAAACAAAAAACTGCTTGATAAATGATGACCAACATACCTGATTTGATGATGAAGCAACAGTGGTCAAAAGACCACCATCAACAGGGGTAGTGGATGAATACGATGAATACTGGATATGGCCATGAGGTGAAGTTTGAAGTTGATTTAGAGCTGATGATGCATCCTGGAAGCAATTATTGAGACAAAGTTTAGAGAGAACTCCAAATTTTGTGACTTTTGTGTTTCATGTTATGAAATAGTTTGGAATAACAGTTTCAGTGTGAAACAGAATTTATTGCAAGATCTAGACATTCACATGTGGAGCATGTGACTTACAAAATATGAGAGAGTTTCAGGTATTGTTCTTTAATAAGACTCTTTAATATGCT